GTAAAATAGGAACTATGATATGATTTTGAGTAATGCTAGAGACCCTAAATATTCTATCAAAAGTTTTATCAAATGTCTCACATGGTGTGGGACCCACACAATGTGGGTCCCATGTGGGTCCCACACCCATGTGAGACATTTGGTAAAACTTTTGGTAGAATTTTTGGGACCTCTAGCATTTTTGTATGATTTTTATAGTATCATTGTGAATGAAGTTGGAAATAGTTAATACCTATTGAAAATTTAGTTACTGTCTTGCATATTGTTTTAATTTTCTGGGCAGCTTTGATGGCTATGCAACTAGTAGAAGGAAAATGATGAGAACAATCCTTCCACTTCATATGCAAGTATGCTAGAAATACATCTATGAACTAAAAATACATATGAAGTTGGAAATAGTTTTGCAATACCTATTGCATATTGTTTTAATTTTCTGAGCAGCTTTGATGGCTATGCAACTAGTAGAAGGAAAATGATGAGAACAATCCTTCCACTTCATATGCAAGTATGCTAGAAATACATCTATGAACTAAAAATACATTTATGACATGCAAGAAAATGTCGTAAAAGACTATATACGGCATACAAAGTATGTCATAAATATATTAAAAATGACCTACGGCATACAAAATTATGTCGTGAAAAGTGTGATAATTTATGACATGCAAGAAAATGTCGTAAAATGTTATATATGGCATACCAAGTATGCCATTAATTTTTAAAAAATAACCTTCTACGGCATGTAAAATTATGCCACGGAAAGTACGATGATTTATGGCATGACAAAAATGTCGTAAAAAGTTATATATGACATTAATGTTTAATTTATTGTTTTTTATAACTTTACCTGTATGTCGTAAATGATGCTCAACTTTTCACGGCATATCATATAACGGCATTTGTGTGTATGTCATAAAAGAGTTTTTACAGCATGCATCGCAAGCCGTAAAAATTCAATTTTGTTATAGTGAGATTGACAGAAAGTGAAAAAAATGTGAACCCATGAATTTTTTAGAGAAACAAAAAAATAAAAAAAAGAGGAAGTGGAGAATAGAATATAAAAAAAAAATACCTGCATGCCGTAAATGATGCTCAACTTTTCATGGCATGTCATATAACGGTATTTGTGTGCATGTCGTAAAAGAATTTTTATGGCATGCATCGCAAGCCGTAAAAATTCAATTTTGTTGTAGTGAGATTCACAGAAAGTGAAAAAAATGTAAACCCATGAATTTTTTAGAGAAACAAAAAAATAAAAAAAGAGGAAGTGGAGAATAGAATATAAAAAAAAAAGGAAGAGGAAGTGGAAGTGGAGAATAGAATATAAAGAATGAGTGACTATATAAAATTTTGTATAGATGAGAGAGTGGTAGAGATTATTAAAAAAAAAAATACAAATGCAAATGACAGGAGAAATTGAGAAGAGGAAAAAAATATTTTATATATTTTTAACATCATTTTGTATCTGTGATTATGTGAATTTTTATATTTTATTCTTTATTTAAAAGTAATCATTATTAAAAAAATTGAAAGTAAATAATGTTACCATTTTCACCAGTACTATATGATGGCAAAAAATATAGTGATATATATATTTTTTGATTCTGCACTTCTCATAATCTGTTAAAAAAAAGTTCAATATAATTGATTTAATAGATTGTTCAATAACTTTTTAGTTATGCAAATCTTAAAGATACTAGTAAAAAATTATAATTTAAAGCAAAAGAGATTGGGGCTCTTTATCCATACCTAAGATTTCAAATAAGTTACAAATTGCAAAGAAAATCTCATTTCATTTTATCTTTTCTTTTCTTTTTTTTGGCCACACAAATTGAAAAAAAACAAAAACAAAAACAAATCAGCTTTGCGACCAAACACAATTTGTCAATTTGTGGAAAAATGTTTGAAATTCACAAAAAATTCTCATAATTTGACCCATAATGATATGATATAATGGTTGTCAATTTTTGATTTGCTACACACTCAATAATTCTCTTACCAGATCATTGTGGTTGAATTTGTAGAACTAAAAGTATTGATTTCTAACATTTCTTAGGGAGGTGAGTGTAATTTACCCTTCTATCATTGGTTGAATGAGAATAATTTTATTTCCACGTATCAATTCATTTCAATTCACACACTTAAAGAATTTTTTCTTAATATGATTTTGTCTTATAATAAAAATATCATAATAATTTTATCTTCTTAAATCCATACTTTAATTCTAAAACACCATAACCATTCTCCATCACTATCTCCTCACATAGTCTATTTTTCTCTCTACTACGACTGCCTTTCACTATAAACTATACATTCTCACAACATTTGTTGCGAACCACTCACTTTCGCAATTGACTATGGAAGTTTAGGATAAAAGGTGATGAGCTGAAAGTGGCGGTAATAGCGATAGAATGTTGAGAACGGTGACAATCACAATGAAAGAAGAGTTGATAGATGGAAAAAAAAAATTAAATTAAATTGAAGATGAGGATACTATTAAAATTATATATATATATATATATATATACTAAATATATATTAGGGCAAACTTCACTTTACCCCCTATAGTTTGGGCCATGTGCAGATTATCCCCTGACATTCGAATATCACCACATAATCCCCTTATGGTTTGTGGACTAAAATGCACCGTTCACTTTTCCATCCAAGTTAATGGGCTGTGTAATTCAAACGTCCATACAGAGAGTAAGTTACATTTTAAGACCAAAATATCCCTAGAACATCTTAAAATTTGCAAAGGCATGCCATGGGTCTTTCTCCTTCTCTCTCTAAAAGTATAACCCAAAACAAAAACCTAAATTAATTTAAACAACATAATTTCTATCAAAAATTAATGTATATATATATGTATATATTCAAATCAACAAACCCAATGTATATATATGTATATATAATTTGTATTCTTATCCCGTCACACTTTCTGCACATAACCCAAATCAACAAAATTTCATGATCAAATTCACAAGGCTACATCTGATTCAACATAAACAAACTAAGGCTTGTTTGGTTTTAATTTTCAAAGCTAGCATCAATCACATCATTAGATCTGCAGGTTTTTTTTTTTTTTTTCTGAGCTCATTCTTAAATTGAAGATCAAACCTCATAAATATATAACAGTAAATATATACATATATACACACTTCATAAAAACTATATATTTTTTATATTTCTTTTAATATAGTTTGATCTTAAACGTCTTAACAGATTTTATGAATATATATATTCATATGTATAGATTATATATATACAATTTGCAGGTTTATATATATGTGTGTGTATGTGTATTAGAATTGGTAGCATGAAGCTAAATCAAGTGTTTTGTTGAATGAAAGTGAAAATTTGTTAAATTGGTATGGAAGAAGAAGAAGAGAAAGAAGAGAGAAAGAGAGAGAGGAGAGGGGGGAGAGGAGGATATAACACTATATGATGAAGAAGAAGAGAAGGGTCTAATTGTCAATTTACAACTCCTGGTAATAAAAGTTAATGTACGTTTTAATCTACCAACCAAGAGTAATGTGAAATTTTCCCTATCAACAATGATTCATCCCACTAAAAACATCACCACTAATAGCACTAATGCATTAAAAAAGTAAAAAAAAAAAAAAAAAAACACAACTCAACCTAGCATAGAAAATGAGAGAACAAGTGGTAGAACCAACTGGTGTTTTCGGACAGCAATTTTTGCCTAGAGCCGCACGTGCGGTGGGGCTTCCCGCACGTGCGGTGGGGCTTCCCGCACGTGCGGGAGCCTTCTTCCAACAACATTTTTTATTCTGAAATAAAAGCACGTGCCCCCGCACGTGTCTTGGATTTCCCACACGTGCAGATTTGGTCCCACACCTGCGACACTTCTCCGTTTTAGCTCAACTTCAAATAAGCATATCTCTCACCCGGACTCCGTTTTAAGTGATTCTTGAGCCTAAATCCAAGCCCCGGAAGTCTAGCTTCCATTGGTGGTGGTATCACTCCCAAATTCTAAGTACACAAATAGATATGTCCAAATTACACATAAGTAACAAAAATCAACAACGATTTCAAGTCCACACTTTCTGTACATAACCCAAATCAACAAACCTCCACAATCAAATTCACAAGGCTACATCTAATTCAACATAAACAAACTAAGGCATGTTTGGTTTTAATTTTCGAAGCTAGCATCAATTACATCATTAGATTTGTAGTTTTTTTTTTTTTTTTTGCTCTTGAGCTCATTCTTAAATTGAAGATCAAACCTCATAAATATATAACAGTAAATATATACATATATACACACTTCATAAAAACTATATATTTTTTATATTTCTTTTAATATAGTTTGATCTTAAACGTCTTAACAGATTTTATGAATATATATTCATATGTATAGATTATATATATATAATTTGCAGGTTTATATATATGTGTGTGTATGTTTATTAGAATTGGTAGCATGAAGCTAAATCAAGTGTTTTGTTGAATGAAAGTGAAAATTTGTTGAATTGGTATGAAAGAAGAAGAAGAGAAAGAAGAGAGAGAGAGACGGGAGGGGGGAGAGGAGGATATAACACTGTATGATGAAGAAGAAGAAGAGAAGGAAGAGAGAGAAGGGTCTAATTGTCAATTTACAACTCCTGATAACAAAAGTTAATGTACGTTAGTTTGGCATCTTCCAAAAAATCCAAAAAGTCAAAAAGTCACTATCCTATTTAAGTCACATCATCTCATTTAAGTCACATCACCTCTCTAACACATCATTTCAAACCCAACCCAAATCCAACCCATATTTCATAAAAAGTCAAAAAGTAAAAGACTTTGGAGAATTTAATAAATGTTGAGCTAAAACAAAAATTTTAATTAATGAAAACTACAATTTAATAAATATATATATATATATATATATATATATATTAGATGTGTGCATGGAGAGAAATTTAAAAAATAATTTCATAGGTAAATAGTAAAAAAATGGGAAAGAGATATAACCCTAATATATAATTCCTGGGACCAGTTCAGAGGTTTAGAACTCGAACTCGAGCATCACCCTCTTTCTCCCTTCTCTTAACTCTGGTTGACATTGGTAAGTATTGATATGGCGGCTGGGGGACGCGAAGTGTCTGTGATAACGGTGGGTGGGAAAGGCGCTTATCTGTCCTCAGCCATAGTCTCCGCCGTCGCCAATGGCCTCTCTCAGTCGCGAATCGACTCATCGGTCCTTGACAGGCTTTCCAATCCTAAGAATCCTCCTCGTCCTCCTCCGTCTTCCCAGTTCAAGTTTTCCCTTCTGAAGGATCTATCCCCTGAGGAATCCAGAGCTGCTCTCCTCATTCTCTTGAACAAGCTCTTGCTCTCCGGTGGTATTCGACCCACCCTCCCTCTTCTTATCTCCGATGCCCTCAACAACAACAACAATAATAAAACCCTAGATTTAGATTTAGATTTTGATCGTGCCTTTGATCTCACTGACGATGAACTCTTTGTTCTGGATAACTCATTGTTTATCTTGGATGGCATTTGCGCAATTCTCGATCACCAGTCCTCCACCTTGTCTGCCATCGCCGACGCCGTGGCCGCTTTGTCTTGCGAGGCCTCTGGAGCCGACGTCTCCGCATTTAATAATCTGACAGACTCTGGTGATGCTTCCTCTGCTAATAAGGACGAGATTGCCGTCGCTAGTGACTTGAAGGTTTTGCTCGTTGGCTCCAAATTGGTTGGCAAGCTCCACTCCGATTCCGTCTCTGAGATTCCCCAGGTCCATGCTACTTTTAGGGAGATTTCCAGATTGGTGCACTCGAGGATGCGTTCCGAATTGAATTCCCCTGTTGTTAAAACTACCGGTGGAACTGGCAAGGCATTGGCCACGGTTTTCTCATCTTTATCTGAGGCCCTGAGGCATTTGGGCATGAGTAGCTGGTCCCGTGCAAAACTTAACATTGATGTGATGAGTAATGTTGATCTCCGCTCTGGGTTGAATGAAGTTTTCGGCAGGGAATGCCCTAGTGTTGATAGTTTGGGGGACTTGCTTATGTCCTCTTCGCAAGCCGGTTTTAGAGGGCAGTACATCAAGTTCTTTCACGAGCTTAATAGATTATCAGAAATAGTGAGCAAGATTTTTGCATGGGAGGCAACGACAGCTTTTATTTCGCTCGAGGGGAATGAACTAACAGAAAAACTTCAGGGTAATGCCATGAATGGAGTTTCTGCCAAAACAGAGAAGAAGAGAGAAAAGAAAAAGAAGGTTTTAGGAAAAGGGGCTTCTGTTTTAATGCAGTTTATCAAGGATAGGTTGCAGAGTGGAGTAGGTGAGGCAGTTGATCATTTGGGCCTACTGGAGAAATGGACGCGTGATCTTCTCTCATTCTTCGACCCGAAGCACTCGGGCTTTCACAGCTTATTGATGAAAGTGAAAGAGCTCGTGGAAAGCAATGAAAGTAGGAGACTTCCCAAGCTTCCCAAGGTAATGAGAGTTAATGACTTTGTACTTTTTTGAGTCAAATTCCAGGTGTGATTTTGTGTGTTTATTTTCTCAAAGATCAAAATTGTGTCCGTTGAATCCAGGGAAAAAAGAACAAGAATTGCACTCTCTCTCTCTCTCTCTCTCTCTCTCACTCTCTCACACACACACACGCATGCAACAAATTCATAACATAGTTCTTCTTTGATGGCCAATTAATAAACAAAAACATTGATGTCTTTTGGACTTTCTTTTATTACTTTTTTTTTTTGGTTCACTAGGGATATGATGCCCAATGACAAATACAATTCTGTTGTTGTACATTGTTCTTGAAAGTAGAGTTCTAAGGGTGTGATACCGAGACAAGTTTTGGTTTGTGTTTTATGACCTAGGATCGGGCTAGTCTGGTTTGTTTTGCTTAAATTTAGGACATGTGATTTTTTTATTTACCTAGATCCAGCAATGGTAGGGGCATAAAATTTAATCGAGATTTTTGACTGCCCATATTGCCTTGTCTTTCATGATTATCCCTCTCTTACATACGGCATTGTTAGAATTATATAACTATCTCCATTTTTTCCCTTTTTCCAGCAAAAGTCCATTTAGGAACAAATGTTGACAGGTTTGTTGTGCACTAAATTTAAGATCATTTGCTTAAATTTGGTCTGGTTTGTTGTGCACTAAAATCCATTCATTGTCTGTGGTAGGGACCTAACAGATAAACTGCAGGTTGGACTTCTTTTATTGGGTCTTTAAAATATTCCAAGTCATTGACTCATTGGCTTAGGACACATTGTAATCTAAGGTTGGATAGGTTAGGGAAAGTAAACAAGGAATTGGGATTGTGTCGGCGTAGGATGAAGGAGATTTTGAACTTGCAAAGGGAGACCAGAGTCCACTTTTATTGGTTGTGTTACTGTGCAAATGGTGAAGCCTACTTTCTCACAACCCTAGCCCCCTCGTGCTAGCTGGAATTTGGTCAGGTCATTTTGGGGCATGTTTTACATATTTCTTTGTAGTTATATTTTTGTTGCATTGTGCCTATAGAATGGCTCTTTTCTTACAACCCTAGCCCCCTCCTTTCTATTCCTCCTTTCTACAGCTTGACTAGGTTTTCTGTTGCTACTTATGTTGTCTAGGCTATGATTTTGTTTGAAGTTGTATATCCTATCAACTATCATCATAAAGCGGTTGGTTTAATTGTTCTTTATTTTGTTCCCTGATTAAAAGTAGTTAAATTATTTCAGACTGAATGAGCTTGCAACATTTTTATATTCAACATGGTTTTGTTACGTATCAGGGTACTCGTGATTTTGCAAAAGAACAGATGGCCATAAGGGAGAAAGCATTCTCAATTATAGCCCAAGTTTTCAAGAGGCACGGTGCCATGGCACTGGATACTCCTGCATTTGAATTGAGAGAAACTTTAATGGGAAAATACGGGGAAGATTCAAAGTTGATTTATGATCTTGCTGATCAGGTAAAATATGTTATTAGTTGAAATGGCGTCCTGTTCTTTTTCTCTTCTTTTCTTTTTCTATTTGTAATTTTAATTGGTCAAAGGAATTAGTCATTGTCCTTTTTCAAGCTATGCTTTTAATTTCTAACATAATGCTGATTGAATTTGGTCTCTTGGAAAATGTGGAATGCTTGTTAAGGTAGGGTTGATTCACATGGTTTGATTGGGCTATTGAATGAAAGTTCTTGTTTCCTTGGTCATTTACATGGGGGTGCAATGTTTGGAGTATTCTTATCCCATTTATCTTTCTACAACAATTGCCAGCTAGTTTTGGCATAATAAATTGAGGGGTTATTTTGTTCCTAATTGAAGTTGAACCACTTTTCCATACAAGACCTTTGCCTTTTATTCCAAATTTCATGTTGTTTATTATGTTGTCTTGATCTTGAGTATTATCTTATTGGAGGACTTTTGTAGCGTAGCTCAAAGTTTCTCTTGAGACTATAACGCCACATCTGTTAAATGGCTAAATGCGTATAATAGGTTTCGAAAGCCTAAAGAGAAGGCTATGGGTACCATGATGTTGAGAAGTTTTTTTTTTTGGTCCAAGGGGAAGTGTCTGTGGTAGTGTTTAGGCTCTTTAAGGTCTTTGTTTATGTTTATTTAAAACTAGTATAGTGCTGGGTTTATTAATTTTTGTTTTTTGTTGATTTGTACAAGATGAAGGTTTTTGTGTAATTTTAAAATTTGCTGGTATTGAGTTCTATATGGATTCATGAATCTTGTTTTGGGTCAAGTTATTAAATGTGTCATTATACTTGGGTTTTGATAGGTATATAATAGTTTTAGTAGTAAAGAAGGTCAAGGTTTCCTATTTGAAGTCCTAGTTATAGTTGGAATAAGATTAGACATAACCAGGAAGAATACAAAGTGGTATGGAACTCTGGGAGTGGGAGAGGAGAAAGTCTACGCTTGGAAAATTTGTGAAGATGGAGGTATCTAGGGAGGTATGGTTGAAAGAGGACTTCAATAATTCAAATCTCATCCAGAGGATGACACATGCTCATTGAAGTTATGATTATTTTTTTGAAGATTTGCTTAGGTGATGTGAGTAGTAGCAAAAAGGATATTAGATGTGGTGTGGCACTGATGTAGAATTTAACAAAGGATGATATGGAGTTTCATATAGTTGGGAAGCTATGGGATCACTTTATTGGTTAATGTAGTCTAATATTCAGATGAGATGTTACTCATTTTTTGTAAAGGTGCTGGATTGTGGAAAGAATGGATGTTATGAGGATCTTGGGTGTATTCACCTTATTGCATCTTCTTTTGTTGGCTTAATCTCTAGGAAGTGGCATTGGTGGATTAGGCCTGTCATTTTTATTTTTTTTTTGGGGAGTGTATTTAAGAATTTTGCAGAAGTATTGGTGTTGACGAGCATGTGAAGAAGAAAAGGACAAATTTGTCTAGGGGTGGCCTTATATTTTAGAATGCATGTTTCTATATGCATTATGAATTTCTTTTGAGTACACTAAAGTTTGGCAATCTAAAAAGCTTTTTCGTTTTCTTTTTTTCTAGTTGTCCTTCATAAGAACTTCAAAATTTTCAAGATGGAATCTAATAACTTGTAAGATAAATGCTTTTTTATGATATGATTGAGGAAAGGGTTGCAACACATCAAACCATAAATTTCTTACTGTACATATCCTTGTATGTTGTTAAACTTTTTAAATATTTTTTAAATCAGTTTTCATTTTTACATGATCTATTCTGATACAATATATTGTAAGTATTGTTATATATATACACATCAAGAAGCAAATGGAGGCTCTTAATAACTTAATAGTGCAGATTTAAATTCTTTTTAGCTTATTGTTTTTGAAGCTTATAAGCAAAGTTATCACATGTTTAATGAGCAAATGTGGGGTTTTCAATATGCATGTGTATATGATGTTATAGATTAAAAAGGTTGACATGACATGATGCTTAAAAGAAAAAGCATTGGCTTCAATAGTGACAAGAGTCACATCAAATGCCAAGAAATCCAACTTTTATGGAAATATCATGGTGACCTGGAACTTCGGTTTTATTAGAATAGTAAAATTGCTAGATGAAAAAATGGAGTTAATTTTTGAATATCTAACTAGTTTGTTACTTTTTGTTGGACTTGAGGACAGGGTGGAGAGCTTTGTTCGCTGCGGTATGATTTAACAGTTCCATTTGCTAGATATGTGGCCATGAATGGTATTACATCATTTAAAAGGTATCAAATAGCAAAGGTTTATCGAAGAGATAACCCATCTAAGGGAAGATATCGTGAATTCTATCAATGTGATTTTGATATTGCTGGTCAATATGAGGCAATGGGGCCAGACTTTGAGGTCATAAAGGTTATGACTGAACTGCTGGACGAGCTAAATATTGGTGATTATGAGGTACTTAGATTTTCAAATCATTATGTTGACTGTATTGCATTCACTTATGTTTGCACACTTAATAGTTGATATGAGATTTAAATTACTACTAAAGCTAAGTTTTTTGGCCTTTTATTTTCTATAATATTGTTTTAGTATTTGACCATTAAAATAGAAGTCATATTAGAAAAACATGATTAAGGAATTATGTATGATATTGCCTTATTAAGAGGATGATTAGAATCTCTATTATTAGAATCATATGATTCACGATTCGAATCGTACGATTCAATTCGATTCGATTCAGTAGCTAATCGATACGAACAGGTTGTGTGAATCGCAAATAGCTGTGAATCGTTGGTGAGTCAGTGAACCGAATCGGTGAATCGTGAATCAATTCGATTCACTAAAATTGATGGCTTTCTTTTTTGGTTTTTTATTGTTGGAAAAAGGGTCCACACAACCTATTTAAGGTCTTTAGGATTACTATATGCCATTTTTTGACTTTCTCCCTCCCTATTTACTCTCAAATACTCAAACCTTAGCCTAAAAAAATGAACTTTCTCTCTCTACATTATTCTAAATTTTACATATTCAATTTTATCTAAGTACTTGCATTTACAAAATGAAATTTTTTGAAGGCATCAAGTGAGATATTTGAAAAAGTTAGAAGATTTTGGTTTTTTAACCTTGGAAAAAGTTAAAAACATTGTTGTTGAGTTATTGTTATTTGGAACTTGAAAATTTGTCTCTGTTTGCTTTCTTTATTAAGAATGATTGATAAGAAATAGTATCTAAAAGGGAAAAATGTGAAGTGGTAAACATGGGAACCCATGTTAACTTCTTACCCATACCACATCTAAAACAATATTTTCATTGATTTAAGTTTAAATATTTCATATTTATTAGATATATTTAATATCTAAGTATGTAGATATATTTTTCTATGTAATTAAAAAAATGTGATCGAATCTTTATGATTCGCGATTCGATTTGATTCGCGATTCAGAACAATACCATTTCGATTCACAATTCGAATCCCAATTTGACAACTATGCTTAGAATCAATATATGTCTTTAAGTTTATGCTTTGGTACCCAAGAATCTTGGTGGTGTCAAGCGAGTTGGGCACTTGGATCAGTGCCCTACTATTTCTCATTTAAAACAGCCCTGCTTATGTTCTATATTCACCTGTATATTGTTATTTGAATTTCTGAAAGTGTTCTCCAGCATAATAATTATTCTTTTTTTTTTTTTTATAAATATTTTAATCTTTCTTTCTTTATATATTTTCACAGGTAAAATTGAGTCATCGGAAGCTATTAGATGGCATGCTGGATATTTGTGGAGTGCCACCTGAAAAATTCAGAACTATATGTTCCAGTATTGACAAGTTGGACAAGCAATCATTCGAGCAGGTTAAAAAAGAAATGGTGAGGACATTCATCATCCATTTATCTAGAGAGTTATGTTCTTTGCTAAAGAAAATTCATAAGGGATAGTTAGAGATTCTGTGTGTTTCCTAAAATAAGTTAAGAATTAGAATGCCCTGCCTTTTTTCCCCCTCCCTTCGCCAGTTAAGATGATTTTGAATGATATTGAGGAAGGCACATGCTAAGGGGAGATTGATTGCATGCTATTTAACATCCTCCTCTAGTATTGAAATGTGTGAATGGTTGACCCTGAGGTGGCCCGAGTGGAGTCTTCTGGGAAGATGGTAGGTACTAGATGGCAAGGGACCACCAAAGGTGGGGGAGGGGAGAGCTGTAACGGTCTTAGACTGAGAGAGAGAGAGAGAGAGAGAGAGAGGCAGTAGAGAGAAAACTTATGATCTTGTTAGAGGAGGTTGATGGGTGATTGCTTGCAAGTTGCATGCATTGAAGAGGTCTCCTTATATAGGGGAATCGAACTATTGAGGCAACTAAGCAGTGCACAGTGTCCTATGTCAAGAGACAGGTGGCTCAACTCCTTTGGCTTTGAGCTAAATGCTGTCATTTTTTTTGGCCGGAGGTGGTTTTGCACAAGACAAATTTATGATTGTGTTAACAATTATTGAACATATTGATTTGGTGATTATAAGTGGTATTTGGTCATAATCTGTTAGCTAGAGACACAGGAACCATATGGTGGTTATATTGCTGATTCCAATGCTTCTGTCCAAATTAATATGGATAAAGAGGATAATTTTTGAAGTACGAGAATTGCAATTCTTTTGTAAAAATGACAAATGTTAGTGCCATATTATGAAGCACCAATACTTCAAAACAAGTGCCATATCTATGTCGGACACACAGACACTTCGGGGACACGTATGGGACGCAACGCATGGCGTGTCTCCTTATTTAATTAATTTATTTTCACGAGTCACGCCGGGGACACACTAGGGACATGTCTAGTTGTCTTTTTCCTCATTTTATTTAGTGCTTTTGATGAATGTTGAATATTTATTATTTTTTTCTTATATTTAAATACTTAATAGATCATCCATAAAAAAAGATATAAACTATAAGTGTTAATTTAAAAATGTTTTTTTTTAAAAAAAAATAGAATTAGAGTTAGTTTTTATTAATATTGATTGTTTGTAGATGTAATGTTAATCTAGATAGTAAATAAAATATATGAAAAAATATTTTATTGTTGTGTCCCCGCCATGTCTATGTCTCCATTTTTATAAAATTGTTGTCCCATGTCCACATCCGTATCTGTGTCTATGCTTCTTAGGTGCCATATATTATAAATTTTTTGAAGAAGTTTTTGGAAGAATAGACTTTCTTGCACGAAGGGCTTGCCTGTTGTCGAAGTTAACATGATTGATATTTAGGCTTGGGACCTTGATTTGATATTTGATTGGCAATTTTTTTTTTTTTGGGGGGGGGGGATCGAAATAGAACCCCTTTTTTGTGTATTGCAAGTAGAGCTACTGGGGCTCAGAAACCTAGGGACATTTAATAAAAGCTCGGCTACATATGTCCAATCCTAATTTTATAATCAATACGAATGCATTATTTTGAATCCTAATCTGAATGAAATATGTGTTTGACAAGTATTTGAATCCTAGTAGGTGTTCATATATGTTTTATTCTATGTTACTTAGAATGTAGATCGTTCTAGTACATGGAATGAGAACAGGAACGGGGTACGCCATATGCTCTAAAATGTGGTACGATAAGGGTACATTTGTATATATTATACTTAAGAATATAAGGTACTTTTGAAGTATTTTTTGTTTCATACTCTTAGATATCCAATAAAATGTAATATTTTCTATGAGCATTATAACCCATTTTTTGATGTTTATGTCTTGTCAAAACTTATCTCAGTGTAGATTTTAGTTCATTTTTAATTTTTTTTTTTCCTCCTAAGGTAACATTTAAGGACATATATTGAAAAAAACTTTTGGGATTGCTTTGGGTCACAAAAGTTACCGTTTTAGAACGGAAGTGTACCATGTTTCGGAATGTGCATATCAATACGTAATTCGCTAGTGTATTAGCGTTTTCTGGTAACACAGGTTTTATTTTAGTTGTGGGTTGCATCCCTCTTTATGTGCTTTCTAAAAAAGTTTTTATTTATCAAAAAATAAAATATCTTTTGTGAATAGGTTTATTTGTTTTTGTGTATTTTTGTTGATCTTGAGTTATTAACTTATTATTGATTATAAAGTTCACAATTCTTGTTATATTTTGCTTCATTTTATGATATTATTTTTGTTAGAGTCTAAATAATTAACATGCTACGTTTTGATGATAAAATCTACGTTTTTTTCTGTGCCAGGTGGAAGAGAAGGGCTTAATTGTTGAGACAGCAGATCAAATTGGCACTTTTGTCAAGGAAAGGGGGCATCCTTTGGAACTTTTATCTAAGCTTAAACAGGAAGGGAGCAAGTTCCTAGAAAACCAGGGATCTCTTGTTGCACTGAATGAATTGGAGATTCTATTTAAAGCTCTGGAAAAGTCGAAGTGTATTGACAAAGTGGTTTTCGATTTGAGTCTTGCTAGAGGTCTTGATTACTATACTGGAGTCATATTTGAAGCTGTTTTTAAAGGGGCTACACAGGTATAGCTTTGATTTAGTTGCTAAATTTTCTTTATGTGATTGTCTTGCTTTTGTATTTGATGGCGGTGTCCCATTGAGCACTTTCTTTAAACTAAAGTTGATTTAATTAACAATATAAAATAAAAAAAAGTCTTTACATGTTCACCTTGTGGACTTCAGAAAAGGAATATATGACAAAGGATTTTTCTAAGATTAAGATGTAACCTGTGAAGAAGCTCTGCTATCCCCTGCTAGCCTCTTTGGTTCCTTACTTGTATGGTTATATGTGGGTTGCATTTATTATGGTATTTTATGTATGGTTACTCATGATGATAAAGGACTAGTCTTGGTTTCTCTATTATTAGTTCTGAGAATTGAGAGCTGCTACTTCAATTATTCTGGATAGCCTGGTTTGTCAATAATTGGCTATGTCTAATTGTATTGGTATGGTACGGTCACATTCCTCCAAGGATCAAAATATCTTATTGGTTTGTCATTTTGGTTAGCCTGGAAATGGAAATGTTTCGGAAACATAAGGGAAAAGACAGAAGAAATTACTAATGTATACAAATGCTTACAAACAAAATCTAAAACCTATATAAATGTCAACACATTCTCAATAAATGTTCGCAAACACAAATGTTTACAAACATGTTGAGGTCTATGAATATTTGAAGCTCAATACAAGAAGATTTAAAGACTTGGTTGGGGAAGGGGTTATTTATTTTTCCTTCTTAGTGAGCGTTCAATACCAAAAAAAGAAGATATATAATGCAGATCCATGCAAATCCCAATGGGCAACAAGCTTCTTATCCTCTGTTGTGCCTTTTTATACTCTTTCTTATATTATTTTGCAAGAATATTTCTTGTTTATTTCTAATCAAAAGCAACACAATGACAATATTTCTTAGAAAAAAGTACTTTATGGTAACAAGTGACTTACCATGCTTGTTTTTTCTTCTCCTCTATCTCTTATTGTCTGCTTTCTAGGTTCTTTAAATGTAAATCTTTTTTATTCTCAAAAATTTTCTTTTGATAAAAAAGGCAAATAGGAACAACCATTGTTTGATATTCCTAATAGGTGTTGAAACAACTCATTATTTCAATATGTTTCATAGTGTTGCAGTGAATTTATGTGAGTTTTGTTAGAAACATTAAAATTTTGATATTCCACAGCTGTTTTGTTTCAGTTATGGTTTCTCGGGAAACAGAAACATTTGAGCTGTTTCAATGGACAAGAAACAAAATTTTATTCCTAGCATACCTCAAATGTTTGAGTTGTTTTCCAGTTGGATTTAAGCGTAAATGCAATTATATGCAATAGAGACAAGCCATATAATGTGTCTTAATTACTCCAACTTATGTATGTCCTCAGGTTGGTTCTATTGCTGCTGGCGGACGTTATGACAACCTTATAGGGATGTTTGGTACAAAGCCGGTACCTGCAGTTGGTGTCAGTCTGGGAATAGAACGAGTATTTACTATAATGGAGCAGCTTCAGAAAGACCAGAATCAGGTGATAGTAACACTCATTATTTTAGTCAATGTACTTGTACCATATATAATACACTATCTTTTTTTTTTTTTGGATAAATCATATATAATACACTGTATCATTGTCAGATTAATGGAACACTGAGGCTATAGTCCATTTTCTGTGAAGAAATAACTAGAAAGCTAGAACATATCAATCTTAAGTAAGCTTGAATAGGCCTGAAGTAAATTTTAAACACAAAATCCCATTTGATTTTGTCATTAGAGTTCATGCAAAATCATTGCTAAGCAAGCAAGTAATTGCTAGTAATCCTGTTATCAACAACAATTCAACTAGGAAAGGAAAACTTCAATAAAGGAAATCATACTGTAATGCACTAACAAAAACAACCCTAGGCAGATGTACACATCTTTGATACGTAATAGACACAGGGACTTGTCAGACATGCGTTGACATGTGCGGGACATGTCAACACAAGTCAGACACATCCCAATCTGTCATTTTGACAATTGGCCACAGGAAGAGGTGGGATCATACATGGTCTTTGTTATTCTTTTCACGTAGCAGTGAATAGCATTCACTTTGCTTGGTTTGAGTTTTCTAAAAACATTTTTCAGAAAATTCTACTTTCTTGTTTTCCGTATTTAGTACATTTTTCATATTTTTGTGTATTTATTAATTTATTAATTTTATTTTTTAAACACATCTAAGTAAGATGTATCTAAAAAAATAAAACAATGCTTAAAATTTTAAAAATATTCACTAAAAACAAAAAAACACGAAAAATAAAAAACTCAATTTTCAAAAAATCTTAATTCAAAGAACTCAAACCAAACATACTAATTAGTTCTATGATGTTGTCCATGTTTGGACACCTCACATGAAATCTCATCTGCTCCAATTCCTTAATTCAAAAACTGCAGACATGAACAGTTATTCCTTCTTTCATGCTCTTCCCTGACCTCTTTTTGTAGCAGTCTGTTCTTTTTTCTTGAGATGCCCCTGTAGATCTGTCATGGTTATATTTTGTGTTAGCAGAGCAAGTTTATTTGTAATTGATTAATTATTAGACATGAAAGAAATCTTGAGTGTTAGGCAAGGCACTGATGTTTGTGTTGTTTGGTAGGCTACCCGAGCTACTGAAACTCAAGTCCTAGTGGGTATCCTGGGAGACGACTTATCTGTTGCAGCAGAACTGGTTAGTGAATTGTGGAGTGCCAGATTGAAAGCAGAGTATATTGTCAGTAAAAGAATGCTGAAGCTCATTGAACGTGCCAAAACATCAAGGATCCCATGGATGGTAATCGTGGGTGAGCGTGAACTGAATGAAGGGGTTGTGAAATTGAAAGATGTAGAGGCTGCAAAAGAAGAGGAAATCCGCAGAGATGTACTTGTTGAGGTGCTTCAGAGACGGTTGAGTGGCATGTCACCTTGAAAATCTTGTTCTCGTCGTCCAACCAGATAATACTCTTAATTCAGGATAATAGTTTTGTCTATACAATTCCATTTGGCCTACATATTACTCTTCTGGTTTTGTTTATAGTAAAAAAAAACCTTTTATACATGAGATTGTGGGTGGATGATGAAGTAACTTTTTTTTAATTTTTTTTTTTAATTTTGTGGTTTTGGGCAAGATATACCTTTAATGAAATAGTAACTTTTAAAATTTTGGTTTTGGGCAAGATGCCTGTATTTTAATTATTTTCTTACTACAAACTAGATCACTAGCCAGATGGTTCTCACAAATGCCTGAAACCGGAACTTGCATTTTTTGTTTGACAGGTCACTAGAAGGCCTGTCTGTCAATCAGACACGGCTGAGCCGGGCCTTAGTGTGACTGAGATTCAGCCTGGAAGTAAATACTAGTTGTCCGAGCCCAATTAATTTTTCAGGGATGAAAGGATTTTTATGATTATTATTTTCAACAAATACAAATAAAAATGTTCTTGACCTGCTTGATGATTATGCTGATGGAAGGAAAGAGGAAAATAGTAAGATGGACAAATTGGGATTATAAGTGTAAAGATTGGATTTTTTTTGTTTTGTTTTGGGATTTGGTCAAAACCCTTTTATAATAAAACTTTAATGCATTAAGGACAAATAGAAAAACTTTTTCTTGAAAACTCTAACCTATATCACTATTATCAAAATATTAAATTTTAAAATAATAAAACTTTTGATCTAGATGTCGGTTTTTAATAAAATTAGTATTTTTAGAATCCTCTTATTAAGATCTATTAAATAATATTTATGTTGATTATGAAATTCTTTAAAAAAAAATTATTACTGTCGAAATTGATGTAAACTGTAACATGTTACTATGGTAATATTATTCACGAAAAAATAATAATTTTTACTTTGTCCTTACTCAATTATGCGCCTCTTCTTTAGAGGATTTATGAAGCAAAATAAATTGGGCTATATTTTTTACCAAATAAGGATCCAATGGAGGAGTTTTGGCTAAATTTTCATTTCTTTCTTCTTTTTTTTCAATACTATAGCTTGTTTGGTTTGGTTTTCAGGATTTACTTTTCGAAAATTGAAATTTTTTGCTTTTCATGTTTTTTTTTCACTGATTTTTTTTTTAATATTCTAAGCAATTTTTTAATTTTTAGATATACCTAATATAAATACACTTAAAAAGTATAATATTTGTGAAAAAAATCTTTAGAAAATTCACTAAATACCAAAAATACAAAAAAAAAATGAGAATTTAGTATATTTTCGTATTCTTATATATTTATTGATTTTTAAAATATTTTTTTATAAATATTTTACTTTTTATATACATCTAAGTAAGGTGTATCTAAAAAAAGTAAAAAAAAAATTGTTTAAAATTTTAAAAATATTTAGTAAAAATAAAAATAAAAAATACGAAAAATAAAAAATTCAATTTTTAATAAATTGAAACTAAACACAGTGATTATCAACCAAATGTTTTCTGTCACTGAACCAAATGAGTAATAAGTGTTTAATTTTTTATATCTTAGTTTTTAAAGGTGGATAAATTATTATTATTAGTGTAATTTAACTTCTGCAATTGTAATTTTAGTATTATTAATTTTTTGTAATTTATAGATTTTTATTTATTTATTTAAAATTTTAGAGTTTCTAGTTGTGAGTTTTGGTTTGGTTTGTAGAAGTTGTTTACTCTGATACGAAACACAGTTTAGTTTTACGCAAAAAAATGTGTTTTGACAAAAAATGATTTTATCAAAATTTGAGTTAAATTTGGTACAAGATTGAACTAAAATGTTTTGAAATTTGGCTCAACAATAAAGGTGAGTTACAAGAGTACAACCATAATTTCAAAAAATTTGTAGCAGGAGTTTCCAATTACACATTTATTTATTTATGGTTAAAATTTGTAATTTACCATAAATTTATTTATTTATTTATTTGTTACAGGAAAATCTTCCATACCCTCCTGCAGGTCCAAGGCAGCGCCCCTTGCAGAGATCACCAAGGTGTCCTGTTAGCCGTTCCGAGAGCGAGGAGACTGTAACTTGGGAACTTGCCCTGACCTCCCAAGACAAGTTTTAGCCGTTTCGAGAGCGAGGAGACTATAATCTGGGAACTTGCCCTGACCTCCCAAGACAAGTTTTAGCCGTTCCGCTTAAGTCAGGACTCGCAGAGCAAGAGAGTATTGAACCCATACCAAGTGCTGATTAAATAACTTGAGGTTTGCAGGAGAGTATTGAACTCATACCAAGTGCTGATTAAATAACTTGAGGTTTGCAGGAGAGTATTGAACTCATACCAAGTGCTGATTAAATAACTTGAGGTTTGCAGAGATCACCAGGTGTCCGGTTAGCCATTCCGAGAGCGAGGAGACTATAATTTGAAAATTTGTCCTGACCTTCCAAGACAAGTTTCGCTTAAGTCAGGACTCGCACAGCATGAGAGCATTGAGCCCACACCAAGTGCTGATTAGACAACTTGAGGTTTGCAGAGATCACCAGGGTGTCCTGTTAAACATTCCGAGAGCGAGGAGACTATAACCTGAGAACTTGTCTTGACCTCTCAAGACAAGTTTCGCTTAAGTCAGGATTCGCACAGCGAGGAGTATTGAACCCACACCAAGTGCTGATTAGACAACTTGAGGTCCAATCTCCTAACCAACTGTGCTTCGTCCAGGAGATTGGCCTAAGAGAGAGGGAATTGAACTTGTGACCTTGGAGCTTAAACCCCAAGCCTTAACCACAATGCCACCCACCCTTAAGTTAATTTATTTATTTTTTAGCTACATCCACAGCATATATTATGAACTTCAAATTTCATAGATACAAACTTGTACATATGATTGCGGAAGGAAATGAATAAATATGCGTAAATAAAAGATTAGCTGGTCCGTGTTTAGGGGGGGCACCTATGAAAAATTCAGAGGCCAACCTTGGATCTCTCAGCACAGCGCGCACACTAACACTAACACAATCCCCACCCTCTTCCTCTTCCTCTTCCTCTTCCTCTTCCTCTTCGCACCCGATCCTTTACGCTGGGTGTGTGTCGTTGCTGTCTCATACTACTACTATTACTATACATACATACATACATACATGATGCAATGATGCCTCCCTCCCCACTTCCCACACTCTCTCTCTCTCTGGAGGAGTAGATTATTCTCTCTCTATTCACTATTCTATTCTTGGCATGCATTAAAATTTCATACACACCCCCATCCAATCATTTCTCTCTCTTCCCAAAATTTTAGGAGAGGAAAAAAAAACACACGCGACCCAAAAACAAAGGAGGGAAAGGAAAACAAAAGAACGCCAATGCCATCACAACAACTATACATCATCATTGGAAAAGGAATAGGAATAGGAATAGGAATAGGAATAAAATCCTGCAGCAGCAGCAACAATAATAATAATATTCCATTGGGAAGAAGGATTTGTTTCGAGTTGTCATCGTCCTCGAAACATCCCCATCTCCTGTAATGGGCGCGCACGCAGCCCCTTTTGTGCGCGCACCACCACCACCAACAACAACAACAACAACATTGCTCAATCTCCTCTGGCTCAATCTCCTCCTCCTCGTCTTGTTCTTCTCCTCTACTACGGTCGGCGATGCGGAATCCGACGCCAACGCCCTCATCAAATTCAAGTCCTCTCTATCCAATGCGGATGCTCTCCGTAGCTGGAACATCAACAACAACAACAATGATCCTAAAACCATGAGTCCCTGTTCTGGTAATTACGGCAATTGGATCGGCGTTCTCTGCTCTGAAGGCTACATCTGGGGTTTGCAATTGGAGAACATGGCCCTCGCCGGCGATATCGATGTCGATTCCCTTCTCCTCCTGCCCCACCTCCGCACTATCAGCTTCATGAACAACAATTTTGAAGGTGGATTACCAGATTTCAAGAAACTTGGATCCCTCAAGTCCTTGTTCTTGTCTCATAACCATTTCTCGGGTCAGATTCCGGACGATGCGTTTACGGGGATGGGTTCTCTCAAGAAGTTGTATTTGTCTCACAACGAGTTTACCGGCACCATTCCTTCATCGGTTGCCCATCCCAACAAGCTTCTGGAGTTGAGGCTCGATGGCAACCGTTTTACAGGGGCCATCCCAGATCTTCAACAAAAGGATCTCAAAATCCTCAATGTTTCTAACAATGAATTAGAGGGTCCAATCCCACCCACTCTCGCCAAACTCAACCCTACCTCATTTTCAGGTCTATCTATCTATTTATCTTTCATTCTCTTCCAAATTAATTAGGAGATGATGATGGTGATGATGATGATGACGACGATCGATCCTCTTCCTCTTCCTCTTCCTCTTCATTAGATTGATTTCAAATTCTCAATAATCATTTTCTATGTAAATTTTCTGACTAACTGGTATTGCTGAAATAAAATTAAAAAAATCTCATTACCCAAATTATATATACTATTTATATACATCTCCATGCTTGCATGATGACTCCTGATCCTGATCTTAATTTTCTGCATGCACAAATCTCTCACATTTGGTAAGGGATACCTCAGGACTATTTCCAATTCTATCAGGCCAGCTCTGAGATTTAAGGGGCTAAGATGAACTTCGGAAATGGGACCCCTCTTATATTGAAAAAAAAAAATTCATAGATTACAACAATTTTTTTATTTGTTTGTAACCGTAAAAAAGTTTACTTGCTTATATAATCATTAAAAGTATAAATAAAAATTTATTTTCATATATTAAGATAGGAAACAATCATTACAAATATCCAAAAAAAATTAAAAATCTAGTTTTGTTGCTTTATAGTTCAGTAATAAAAATCTGGGAGTGTGTTGCCTTTCTTTTTTTTTTTGGACCCGATGTTCAATTGGGCCTATAATATTTGGGTCTCTTTTTTTTATATCTAAAACACAAAATTATATTTAGAACTCCTATTTTCAGCCTAAATTTGAGAGCCCGCCTCTCTTGCTTGCCCACACGTCCAGCCTGAATTCTATAATCAAATTCTATGCACTTAAAAGAATATTTTTGTGAATGACCCATCCACATTCGTTTCCTAATAGCTCACGCTGATTGGATGATTTGCTCGGAAAGTAAAAGAAAACATAGTTCTAAATTTTTTTTTTCCCTTTCTCATATCACTTGTTTGAATGTTTCAATAGAAGAAAACATGGAAAGAAATTAAGAATATATTTTTTCCCCCCTTAAAACCCATTTTTTGATTTGAAAGTAAAAGAACATGGAGTTAGTAATTGTTAGTTTTTATAAGAATTGATTTATGCTTTTGTCTCACTTTTATGTTTGCCAAGGAGAAGAGAATAACCCACTATTTTATTTACATTTCTCTCAAAATACCTCTATCTTTTCTTTTATTTTCTATCCGAATTTATCATGCCTTGCCATACCTTGATGTATTTGGGAATAGCTTACACCATTAACAAGATGGACCTCACGCTCTTCTCCATTTTGATGTTTTAAAAGAAAGGGTGAATTGCATTTCATAAACGTTCTTGTCCATCGTGGAAAAATTCAATTTTCATCTCACATATTTTGTTTTCGTTTTTTTTGTTTGTTTTTGTGGACAATTCAGGCAACAAAGATCTGTGTGGGAAGCCTCTCGACTTGGAATGCAAATCCCCGGCTGTTCTGAGTGACCCCCAAAAATCATCTCCCATGAAAATAATTTTAATTGTGATTTGTTGTTTGGTAGCATTGGCAGCAATCATTATGGTTTTAATCATATACCGTCGCAGCTCCATGACACCTCAATTAGGATCTTCGTCCTCCTTAAAAGCCACGGGTTTGCCAGTTCCAGCTGCAGTTGTAGTTGCGGAACAACAACAGTATGGGTCATCACCTGATATGAGCGTGAGTGGCAACTCTAAGAGGGGTGATCAACATGGAAAGTTGTCATTCGTGAGGGACGACAGACAGAGGTTTGACTTGCAAGACTTGCTGAGAGCCTCTGCAGAGGTGTTGGGGAGTGGCAACTTTGGGTCTTCCTACAAGGCTGTGCTCATGGATGGCCATGCTGTGGTGGTGAAGAGGTTCAAGCACATGAACAACTGTGGTAGAGAAGAGTTCCATGAACACATGAGAAGGCTAGGGAGGTTGGGCCATCCTAACTTGCTGCCTCTTGTTGCTTATTACTACAGAAAGGAGGAGAAGTTGTTGGTGTTTGACTATGTGCACCATGGCAGCTTGGCCAGTCACCTTCATGGTATGTTTTCCTAGATAATTACTCTTCGGGTAATTGCCCTTTGTATTGCTGTACTTTTCATTAAATTTCACCTTAGTCTCTGATTTTTCAATCGTACAGACAATCACCAGTTTTTTTAGTTTGTTGTCATATTGTCTAAAGGAAATTGTCTCACATGATGCATTTTTTACAACAAAAATGTAACTTTTTTTCATTTCCTTCTTATTCCATTTTTTTGTTTTTTCTTGTTTCACTGTGTTTTCTCCCTCTACTGTTCTTTCTAAACCTACCCGGGAAAGGCGTGGTTGGTGGTGAGTTTAGAAAATACAGTAAAAGAAAGAAAAGGTTATGAAAAAATACAAAAGCAAAAAATACATGAAAATTACATTTTTGTCCTAAAAATACCTCATGCGAAGGTTACATGATAATTTTGTTAGACAATTCAATGCCAAACTAACAAAAGTGCTAGATCTGCAAATGCAGAAGGTCCATGGTTACAATTGAAAAAAAAAAAATGAAGATATCAAAGTAGGATTTAATGTAAAGGATAAAAAGTACGAAGTATAATTTAACCTTATTGTTCTCATCATAATACAATATTCCCTGCCCCCTTGTTTGTTCGGTTTATGTTTATGTTTACGTTTACGTTTAGAAAAATTTGAAGTGCACAGAATTCCCGGGGCACAACTATATGACATGAGATGGGTCCTATTAAATGTGTGGATCTCATCCCATCTCGTCCTATGTGAGGTGATTGTGTCTCATTTTGTTTTATCGGAATTGTGTGTACACACATTATACATACATACAAGAAGGGTTAATGTTTATTATATTCATGAATCCTGATGATCATGGCGTATATTGATGTTGTTGTTGAATGCTGAATCCTGATCAATAGGGAATCATAGTGCGGAACAGCCAGGGCTTGATTGGGCGACGCGGTTGAAAATAGTGAAAGGAGTAGCTAGGGGGTTGTTTTACCTGCACGAAGAGCTGCCCAGCCTAATCGTACCCCACGGTCACCTCAAGTCTTCCAATGTGCTTCTTAATGAATCCATGGAGCCCCTCTTGATGGACTACACTCTAGTCCCTGTGGTCAACTTAGAACGCGCCCAGCAGATCATGGTGGCTTACAAATCTCCAGAGTATGCTCAGCAAGGCCGAACCACCAGGAAGACCGATGTGTGGAGCCTCGGAATACTCATATTAGAGATACTCACTGGCAAGTTCCCTGCAAACTACCTCATTGCACAATCAGGCACCGATGCCGCAGAGTTAACAAGTTGGGTTGACTCCATTGCTAAGGAAGACACTGCCCGAGTGTTTGATAAAGAGATGGGTACCAAGAACAATAATAATAATATTGATGGTCATGATCAAGTGGGAGAAATGCTAAAACTGTTGAAGATTGGAGTGGCTTGCTGTGAAGAGGATGCCGCGAAAAGGTGGGATCTGAAGGAGGTTCTTCAGAAGATTGAAGAGTTAAATTAATTTAAGTGAAAGGGGAGATCATCTATCATCGAGATCAGCAGGGGACGAGACAACAGCGCCTAGCTTGTGTTGGGTTTGATCGATCTGTTTCCACTCCCCTGACGGCCAAGATTAATTAAATATTAAAAGAAAAGGAAGAAGAAGAAGAAGAATATTGATTGAGGGTGCATGCATGGGATGTTGGGAGAGCTAGCTGGGTTTCAGTTTTCAGTGGAGAGGCTGGGAATACTGGGATGCATATCAGCTGGTTTTAAAATAAATTTAAAATTTTATTTTATTCTTTTTTATTATTATTAAAAATATATATATGGTTTTGATCATACAGATTGATGTTTCAGGAGGGGTAATCTATAAAAGTTTTTTTAAAAAAATAATAATTTGTGGGTTTTTTTTGTTTTCATTCTTTCAATTGGTGGGACAGTGAAATAAAATAAGGTCTTATGTGTAAAAGTAGTTAAAGATTTAAAATTTTGTCTCTCACTGACTATGTTTGTGTAAAATTGGTAATTCATAAAATGTTGGTTACTACTAACCAACCTTTTGGCTAAGTAGTTGTGTATTTTGAGTTTAAATTTTGAAAAAAATTTGACACTTTTTGTATTACCGTGCAACAAAAAATAAAATAAATTGTTCATATTGAATGGTAGATTTTGTGATTCTGTTGACATGTATGTTCCAAAAATACCAAAGTATGTAGGATTATTTAAAATAAAAATCTACTGGCCTAGAATAAAAAAACCAAAAAGTGTCTAGAATTCTTAATCTAGGGTGTGTGTTTGAGTTGTATTTTGTGCGGGAAACATCAAGAATAAATTGTGCAAATTATGGATAATTTCTTGATTTTTTTTTTTATTGTGGTAGAGCTGCTAGGAAGTGGATATTGTGTAGAGTTGCTAGGAAGTCGATTGGGGTGGGGGGAATAAATTGTGCAAATTATATGAGAGGCTTATTTATAACTTCTTTTTCAGACACTTATGCTTTTGTGTGTTTGAGTTGTATTTTGTGCGGGTAACATCAAGAATAAATTGTGCAAATTATGGATAATTTCTTGATTTTTTTTTTTTATTGTGTAGAGCTGCTAGGAAGTGGATATTGTGTAGAGTTGCTAGGAAGTCGATTGGGGTGGGGGGAATAAATTGTGCAAATTATATGAGAGGCTTATTTATAACTTCTTTTTCAGACACTTATGCTTTCGGGGGGGGATTACGAAATAATTATAAATATTATAAATATATGGGAGGCTTATTTATAACTTCTTTTTCAGACACTTATGTTAGGTTAACTCCTGTGTAATTTCTTATAGAGTCTCAAGTCCTATTTAGATAGGAATGTATTTCACAAGATCCTACATAAACGTTATGTGACATGACACTTATATAAACGTAACGTAACGTGACATGACACCTACATAAACGTAACATAACGTGTCATGTTACGTTTCGCAAACTTAATGAGTTTTTATTTTTTAAAATTAAATGTGAAAATGTTGCTGATTTATGTTAGTGTCACTTTATGTTTCATATAAATATGATCTATGGTAACATTCAATTTCTTGCCATAGATCATAGGTGTTGAGAGGGTAATTTATATAAAAATTGGGCCGAGCTGGGTAATGGGCCGTTATGGGCCACAGTACGAAGGGCTGAGTAAAAAGGCCATGAAGTTACTCTGGTCCAAAAGAGGCTTGAAATTACTCCAGTCAAAAAAAGGCTTGAAGTTACTCCAGTCTCAAAGGGCTTACGGTAAGCTCGGTCGTCACACATGAAGTTATCCCAGTCGGGGCCTCAGTATTGGTTATCCCGATCGAGACATACCATGGTTAGCACCGGGAGAAACCGGGGTAAGAGCAGTGAATGGAAGAGCCGAGTTAAAGTTAGCTCGGTCTAGTCTGCGGCTTAGCATAGCCATGCTTCCCTCGGTCATATTGGAGTCCGACCATGGTAAAACCATCTCACTTGGTTTAAGCAGTGAGGAGGGTGTTGAAGGATAAACATTATCTTTCGGGAGTAAGACTCCTAGGAGGACTCTACATGGAGAAGTAGGAGTCCTAATAGGATTGTGCCACGCGGAACCTATAAAAGCTCACAACATCACCTATGGAGAGGTAACAAAACTTTGATTCCCAAACACACAGAGCTTTTTGTCTATTTGTCTATTTTGCTGACTTAGGCATCAGAGAGGTATCCGACACACACCCGCCGGCTAGCTCACGTTTGTGTTTTCAAGGAGTAAAGCGACGACATACGGAGGAGCGCAGACTTGATCAACAGGATTATACGGGAATAATATTTCGTGCCCATACAATTGGCGCCGTCTATGGGAAGATCAGACTAGAACAAAACCTCTTGATCAAGTTTTTCCTCTTTAGAAGCAATGGCGCACAACGAAGATTTGCCGCAGTCCGCCATCGACGGACAAACACCAGAGGGGGGTGCAAGGCGCGAAGGCCTACCTTCTATCCCTCCCATGGCGGACTTGGAGCCACAACGACAGAATCCCAGGAGGGATGCAAGGAGAATGAGGCGGACTAACAGCCCCCGTCACTCTCGTTCACAAAGTCCTGACAGACAAAGGCGGAGGATTGATCCTCAAGTTTTAGAGGACCACGTGAAGGAGCAAGATGAATTAATAAGGAAGATGGAGGCGGACATGGAGGCCATGAAGTACCAGATCAAGGGAAAAGGGGTGGCGACAGGAGAGGGGCGCAAAGGCAATGCGCCTCCTCGCCACTCAGAAGATCGTAGTAGACATACCACGACATCGCAAACAGAGAGTAGAAGCCTCAGGATGAGCGACACACAATTAGGGACTTCCAGAACTCGTTACTCCAGGTCTGAGAGAACGAGATCACTAAGGTCTTACACAGAGGGAAGTACCTATCGGCCCTCACACTCGCACCAAACATCATCCAGGCAGACGGAATTGCCTAGATCATCCGACTTACGGACCGTGCTTGAAGAAAGGACGCGACAGAAGGAGGATGCCAAGGCACGCGACCCACACAGAGTTTCATCCTTTCGGCGGTTGGCTCCTCGGACGGATGGAAACGTCGAGGTTGGAATGCCAATATCACACCTTACCTACGAACCAACAGATAAAGCATTGGCAAGACTACATAGCTCGCCGTTCGTTCCGGCGATTGAGAATGCATCATTACCCTCAGGCTTCATCCAGCCTAAATTTACCACGTACGAAGGGAAGACAGACCTTTACATGCACCTAAGCCACTTCCGCCAGGTTATGGCGGTATATCGACGAAACGAGGCTTTGATGTGTATCCTCTTCCCATCAAGCGTTGGTGACCTAGGCTTGACTTGGTTCGAGAAACTTCCAGAAGGTAGCATAGCCTCCTGGGCACAATTGGCGGAGGCGTTCGTAACAAGGTTCAGAACGAACACTAAAACCCCAGTGGAAATTGATCAACTGCTCTCCATCGACATGGGCGAAAAAGAGTCATTAAAATCCTACAATAGCCGCTACTGGGAGACCTTCAACCAGATTGGGGACTGCCCACCAATCTCGCCATCGCACAGTACAAAAAAGGCCTTCCAGTCGGGAATAGACTAAGGGACTCAATCACTATGACACCGCCTCTCACGATGGAGGCCTTAATGGAGAGAGTGCACCAGCACATTCGGGTTGAAGAAGATGGTGCCCGTGCTAAAGCAAAGTCTAGCACGACGGCGGTACCAGATTAAAAGACCGTGGCAAAGATCAACGCGGTAGAACGTTCGAACAAAAACGGACGAGATAGGCGAGACAACGGAGAAGACCAAGATAAAAGATGGTTAAGAGTCCGCATTGCCATTACCACGGTATTCAAAAAGCCAATCTACCGGATTCTAAGAGAGATACGCGATGAACCTTTCGTCAGATGGCCTACCAAGCTAGGAGAGGCTCAGAAGGACTACGACGAAAGATCACGGTGCACCTTCCATAAAGAAAAGGGGCACCGCACTAAAAATTGTACACCATTGAGACAACATCTAAAGGAGTTGGTGGCGGCCGGTCACCTGGACAAATACATTGAAGAAGGGGCGCAGCCAGCCCCCCAAAATGACAACCACCCGAACGGAATGCCAATTGACGCCCCACCTCAAGGCGTGATAAACGTAATACATGGGATATGCGAACCTGAGTGCGTATGTGAGCTCAGGGGCATGATAAAAAAGGCTGAGCACTTAAGGGAGGTTCTAAGTGCACAACCCATAATCAAGAAAGGAAGAACGGAGGCCGCGAACGTCATGTCTTTTTCAGACAAGGACTTGGAAAGAATATATTGCCCTTACAACGATGCACTGGTCGTCACCCTCCGCGTCAAGGACTACGACGTCAAGCGAATTCTGATAGACCAAGGTAGCTCGTGTGAGATAATGTACTACGACACCTTCAAACAACTGAAATTGGAGGACAAAGACCTGGCACCAGCTGTATCCCTCCTGATCGGATTCAACTCAATGCCAGAATGGCCAGTCGGCAAAATTATCCTGCCAGTCAGGGCAGGAAGCATGACAAAACAAGTGAAATTTTGGGTGTTGAAGGTCCCTTCCACTTACAACATAATCTTGGGAAGAACATGGTTCCATGCCATGAAATCAGTAGCACCATCCTACCATCAAGTAATGTGGTTTCCCAACGCAGCCGGAGTAATTGAAGAGGTCTTTGGAGATCAAATTATGTTCAAGCAATGTTTTGTCACGATTAATGGCAGCCGCGCTACCAAGGGATATGTTCACTCAGTGGAAGAACCTGAGAGCAATGAAATGTTCGCAGATGTCGGCAAAGCAGCTGATCAAAAAGCGGTGGAAGACTTGGTAAAGGTAAGAATAGATGAAAAGAACCCGGATAAGTTCTTTTTGCTCGGTTCGTCATTGTCCAACACTGAGAGATTAGAGGTCTTGGAATTCTTGACCTCTAACATCGAAGTGTTTGCCTGGACACCCTACCACATGCCAAGCATTGATCCAAACTTTATCTGTCACCAACTCAATGTCCACCCATCCACCAGACCAATCATTCAGCGCACTCGCAGATCGGCACTCCACCACGCCGAGATAGTGACGGAAGAAGTGGGAAATCTGCTAGAGGCAGGAGCTATCAGAGAGGTGCACTACCCCAGATGGATTTCCAACACAGTCGTGGTACCAAAAAAGAATGGCAAATGGCGTGTCTGCGTCGACTATAAGACAGTCAACAAAGCATGCCCAAATGACAGCTTTCCCCTATCACGGATAGATCAACTAGTAGACCTAACGGCAGGGCACAATCGACTTAGATTTCTTGATGTGTACAGAGGCTACCATCAGATCGCCATGTACGAAC